CTCATTCTTGATGGGCATCATGTCCAGGAGGCACCAAAAGGCTGAGCCTGTAGGTATGGAGAGATGGAGGGGGAGGGGGAGTAGCCCATGACATCCTTTTCTCCCTAATCCTCCTTGGTTCCTGGGCATAGTCAAAGGGCTTGGCAAAGGTTTAGAGCTGGAAAGAACCCCAGAGATTATGTCAGCTGGCTCCTTCACCTTCCAGATGGGAGAACCAAGGCTCAGAGAGGGTCAGGGATGCACTCAGTGTCACACAGTCAGCTTGTAGCAGTGTGGGACCAGCACCCAAGCTTCCACTGTGCCAAGTGGACTCTGGATAAGGTCTGGGGTCTGGGCAGGGCTGCAGGGCAAGCCAGACCCCCTCACCATCCTTTCTGTAGAAGCAGATTTCAGCACGATGCTCCTGATGACCCTCCAGGGCCTTGTGCAGCCTCTGCAGGGCTGGCTCACTGGTCTCTGGACCATAGAGGAAACGGCAGCTGCAGGTCTTCTGCATGACCTCAGTTCGGCTGTAGCCTGTGAGCTCACAGAAGCCGTCAGAACAGTAGACAATGGGGAAGCCTCGTGGGCCCTGTGCATTGGCCAGCAGGAAGTTGCTGTCTGTAGGAAGAAGAGGTCAAGGTCAGGTCAAGGCCAGGAGGGGAGCTCCACTTCCAAGTGGGCAGTAACTCCCCCAAGCTGTGGTCAGAGGTCACAGAGCCAGAAACTTCCCAGGCTTCTGGGGGATTCCTAGATCTCCCTTTAGGACATTCTGAAATGAGAGGAAGAAGAGATAGTGCAAAAGGACAAAGACTTAAGGGTGGCCTGCACCTGGGACAGGGATTGCCAGGGGAATGGAGAAGGTTATGAGCTCCATCCCTCCGCCTTCAAGCTGGTGAGCTATTACTGTAGGAGGCAGCACAGCATGGTGAGTGAGGGCATAGGTTCTCGCATTCCATCTCTGCCACTGACTGACTATATAACCTTGGGCAAGTTAAACTCTTCTGTGCCTCAGCTTCCTTATCTTCAAAGGCGGGGATAATTTATCTTCCTCACATGGTTGATGTGAGAGTTATGTGAGTTACCTGGGGAGAACAAGTCCTGGCACATTGTGCATGCTACACTGAGAAGATGAAATGATCCCCCACATTTGCACAGCTTCCAAAATACATCCACAGCTGCTATCCTGTCATCCTATTAGAGAGTGGACAGGGCAGAGATTCTGGTGACATTACACCCATTTTATTGGTAGAAAACCAAAAGGCAGAGATTATCTAAACTCACAAATCTCCTTTGTTGGGGGAGGGAGACAGTGATGAGGAGTGTCCTTGGTCCCTGCATTCTGGGAAAGGTCCTCTTTTTAGCATCCTTTTAGCTAATTTCAGGGCATCTGTCCCCAGTGCTCAAAGTTCGAGAGGACTGGGCAGTGAAGATGTGGCTCCAGCAATCCCAGCAGCAGAACCTGAGCTGGCTCCCTCTAGCTCCAATGGGTGGGAGGAGACAGGAGGGCTTTGTGGGCCAGCGTCTTAGCTGAGGGAATGGGCCCTTGACATAACCAGTCCCGGGGTGGGGGTGAGAAGCGCTAGAAGTGTGAGAGTCTAGGGGCGGGGCGGCTGATGGGGACACTGAGGCTGCCTGGGAGGCGCTGGGCCCTGGCAGCAGCCTCCTTCTTCCATCCCAGGGCCCGTTGTCCCGGTGATGGGCGCTATGGAAACAAGGGAGGTGTGTGTAGGGGGAGGGCAGGGAGGCGGGGAGGGCCCCGGCGGCTCGGTTTCTGCCCTCAGGTACCGCTGTCCCCCCGCCCCCCACCTTCCCGATCCCGGCCAGGGTGCCCAAAGAGGGCAGGGGCAGATCTCTAGGCTTCAAAGTAGAAAAAGGGAATGGCGGAAGAAGAGACCGGGAAATTGGAATGGAGCTGTCCAAGGTGCTGAACCTGGAACCCAAGCTGAGGTGGGCGCCCAGAGTTCCCTCCGTCACACGGACCATCCCTTCCTCTGCCTCTCCTCCCTCGGACACGGACACGCCGTGATTTGGGGTGCGTGACCTTAATCCAAGCAAGGTCCTCCCGGAGTCTTATCTTTTCTCTCTCTCCTTTCCTTTGGGGGCTGGTGAGGGGGAGGTGATGCTGGAGACGTCTGGGAGTAGACCTCAGGGCTTCTGGCCACTTCGTGCGACCTCAGCGTCTCGGATACCCCCATGCACGTCCCCAGCAGAGCTCTGCCCAGGAGTGGGCGGCTCCCAAGGCCTCTCCACGGTTTTGTTGCACAAAGAGCCTTTCCTGTCTCCAGTCACACCTCCCAACCTTGACCCCCGCTTCCGGCGGCCCTCTCCGCGCCCCCCCTCACAGGGCGCTCCCAGTCCTGTTTCCTTTACCGCGGCTTCGGGAATTCCTAGACTCTCAACTCCATTCTGTCTCTGCGCCTACGGTCTCAGCACATACAGGCGACCAGCGCTGGTGCCGATGTGGTCTTGGCCCCAGCTCTAATCCCCAACCCCAGCCTCCGCCCCACTCACGCGTGCCGTCGAAGCGGGTGGCGATGGTGTCAAGGAAGGTGTTTTGCGGGGCCAGCAACCCCTTCATGACCGGCATGGCCTTAGGGCGCGGGTTCGAGGCGAGGCGCTGGGGGGCTTTCAGGGCGGCCAGGCCGGAGGGGGCGCGCTGCCGGCGGGGCCGGGGCGCCCCATGCGCCCGCCTGTCTCTTCCCCTCCCTCTCGGCGCGGCCGCCTCAGCCTTTCTGCTACGAACCCCGAAGCTCTCTGCTCTCGACCTGGCGCCGCCTCGGCGCACCCCTTCCCCCCTCCCCACGGGCCAGGTTCTTTCCCCCGGGCTCGGCCTGCGCCCGCCACGTGGCCCCGCACGGGGAGGGGCAGCCGGCAACACCTTCAACTCTCTCGGCGTCCCTCCTCTGGGGGAGCGGACACGGCGCTTCGTCCCCGTGGAGAATTCGGGACACGCCCACCTGGAGTCGGGGCCGGGCCGGGGCGGGACTTAAATAACACACGCCCCTTACCGGGGTGGTCACGCCCCACACGTGGGTCCCTGGCTGCTCCTTGTGGCTCCGCCCCACGGGTTTCCCCGCGGGCAACCCACGCTGGGAATGGTGTCTGGTCCACAGTGCCGCCTGCTGGACTTGCAGCACCGCCAGCTTCCTGCACTCCAGGGTGAGACAGCGAGGGCTAAGAGGCTAGTTTTGCTGGTGGGGAATCGTAAGGAAGGCTGGGAGCTCAACTTCAAGAATGCACTCCTTAACCCACACCTGTGCCTCAGTTACCGGAGGGCACTCTGGAGAACTGCCTTTGAGCGCAGCGGGGTTGATGAAAGAACTTTGGTGTCCTCAGGGTAGAATCCCAGTTCTGCCACTTACTAATTGTGTGACAGCCTCTCCGAGCCTCAGCTCATCTACAAAATGAAGCTAATAATTGTATTTCCCGCAGCTGTAAGAATTTAATAGCTAGTGCATGTGTTCGGCACACAGAAAGTGTGTTGGAGAACTGCTGTGTCTCTATTCTCCCTCTTCCAATTGTCTGGATATAACCCCCCTCTCTGCTGCCATTCAACTGCAAGAGAGGCTGGAGGCAAGTTTTGGGGGGAGAAAGATCATTTCAAGATTGACCGAGTCGAGGTTGGCAAACCTCCAAAGGCACGCTAGTGGGCTTTGAACTCTTATCCTCTCCAAGGCGGAACCAGTGCAGCGGCAAGAACCCAGCTGAGACCAGGCACAGGTCTTTCTCGTTAGAGGAAAAAATGATGGACAGTTGTTGTGATGGCTTAGCGTGGTTGTTTCCCTGAACAAAACGGCTAACACCAGTGAGAATGGGAAGATGGGTAGGGGAGAGGGCAGGCCAGTGCCCCTAACCCCCAGAGTCTAAGCCAGGCACTATCTGGGACTAGATTGCTTAAACATACCACATCTTTCTGTGTGTCTGTGTTCAAATGTTATATTTATTTTTCTAGGACTGCCGTAACAAAGTACCATAACTGGGTGGCTTAAACAACAGAAATTTATTGTGTCAGTTCTGGAGGATCCAGAAATCCAAGATGAAAATGATGGCAGGGTTGGTTCCTTCTGTGGGCTGTGAGGAAGAATCTGTTCCATGCCTCTCTCCTAGCTTCTGGTGAGTTGCTGGCAATCTTTGGTGTTCCTTGGCTTGTAGATGCATCACCCCACCTTTGCCTTGATATTCACATGTGTTCTCCCTGTATTTGTTTCTGTGTCCCAATTCCCCTCTTTTTTATAAGGACACTAGTCTTATTGGATTAGGGGCCCACCCTACTTCAGCATGACCCCATCTTAACTAATTACATCTGCAACTACCCAATTTCCAAATAAGGTCATATTCTGAATTGGGGAGTTGGGTGGTGGTTAGGTTTCAACATATGAATTGTGGGAAGAGGGGAGGCACAATTCAACCAGTGTTCAGTTAAGTTGCAGGAAAATCTTGCCCTATCCCTGCTTAAGAACTTCTCATGACTCCTATCTACCTACACAATAAGGTGCAAATCCCGATGATTTTTTTGTGTGAGGGCCTTTAAAATCTGGGCTGCACTGATCCCCTCAAGCGCCTCACTGCTCCCCACACCCTTTATCCCACGCTGCAGCCACTCTGGACTATTTATGTTGAACCTCATATTTCCTCCAGCCTCAGCTCCCGCCCCTGCACAGCTGAACTCCTTTCCACTGTGCTGCCTTCTTTGCTTTCCCTTCCCTCCCGTGTCTCACCATAAAGATCCTGATGCAAATACAGAATGACTAGTGGAGCGTCTAGGGACGTCTCTGTCCCTCATCCTCCCCTCCAGGCATGTACTTATGCGGTTCTCTCCGCACTCCGGAGCCTTCCACGGTTCCTTGCTCTGGGAGCTCCGCATCCGTTGAGTGCTTCGAGTTTAACACCAAAAGCAAAGACGCCCCAGGCCCGGGCTTCCAGGTCCCCGGTTCTTTGTAGTTCGCAAGACTCTCACGCCCCATGGAGAGCGGGACGCGACCACATAGGAACAGAGACTAGCCACACTGAGACTCGTCTTTATTGTCCTTTTTCTGGGGGATTGACACGAGGCAGGCAGAGGGGAGAGAGCAGGGCCAGGACAGGGTCGAAGAAAGGGCTCAGACTCCGGACCGATCCCCAGGCGCGACAGACGAGGCGGCGGCGGAGGGACAGCTGCGCCCGGGACAGGGGCGCGGCGCTGGCTCTGCGCCTGCGCGGCGGCCCATGGTCAGGATGCCAGCTGCGTGGTTGCCGCTGGCCTGCAGGAGGCGCTGCAGCCGGCCCTGGAGGCCTGGAGGTCCCGGTCGCCGCTTGCCGAGCGTGAGGATGCCAGCTGCGTGATTGCCCGCGCCGTGCAGCAGCTCGTAGAGGCGGCAGGAGCAGGTCTTCTGGCGGCAGCAGTCAGGCAGGGGCTGCGCGGCCGCCCCGGGCAAAAGTAGCGCCGGCGGCATCAAGAGCAGCAGCAGCAGCAGCGTCAGGGCGGCCCAGGAGGCCTGCGAAGGCGGGACACCGGCGTGGGCCTCCCCGCGCCCAGCCCGCTCCCAGGCCCTGCCCGGCTGGCTTAGCGCTGCTCCGGGCCTGTGCCCTTCCCCCGCAGTTCCTCACTGTTCCTGCCTGCGACAGGCGCCCTCTGAGGGGCTCTGCGCGCCCATCTGGCTCCTTCACCTGCTCATCCTCAGGACCCGACACTGCCCCGGGTCTTCCTCCAGCAAGTCCTTTGCGATTCCCCGGGCAGAATGAATTCCTCCCTCCTCTGGGTGCTCTCCGCCGCTGGACCCCACCCCCACCCCATGAAATGGTGCGTTGTGTCCGTCTGCACCAGAAGTTGTACTCTCACGGAACAGAGGCCCCATTTGGTCCTGTCCCCAGACCCCAGCCCCAACACACACACACACACACAGAGCAGGCAAACACATGCAAATCAAGGGCTGGTGCCATCCAAGTTGTCTCATCTGCCTGTCCCCTTGCAGTGTAAACTGAACTCTGGCTTTGGACCAGTTTCCTACCATATCAAGGGGGCAGGACTTACTCATAACCTGGTATTAAGTAATTCCTACTGTGCAGGGCTGGGAGGGGAAATGAGATGACAGGTGCATACAGTGGGGCCAGGTACATAGTAAGTGCTCAATACGCATGAGCTCTTAGGAGAATAGAGCACAGTCTAATGTTAGCCAAGGCAGATTCTCATCCAAGGGTCCACCCAGTCCCCTGCCTCAGAGCCCAAGTAGAAAAAAGAGGAAGAGACACCTCTGGCCTTTCTCCCAGCCTGTGGAGCAAGTGCTCTCATTGCTTCCCCTGGTATGGTAAGGCACCCCTCTGTTCTTGGGACTTTACCTTTGTAGAGGGAGGATTCATGGTGTCTGGAGCTCAGAGTGGGGTAGCCAGGAAATGTGCTGTCCGCAGTGGTCCGAATAGCCTGGAACTTGGAGACCATCGACTATGACCTGCTACCAAAGGCCTGGGGTTTATAGCGCTCTGAGGCGGTGAGGGAGAGATGGGTGCCTGCGTCTACTCTGGGGCCAGACAAAGGCAAGTCTAAGATTAGCCTCCTCAAGGGGGGCCGTCTCCAGGCTGGGCCCAAAGAATGACCGCCAAGGTGCTCAGAGGCCAGAGTTGGGTCACTGTGCCCCTGGTTCCCCCCCTTTTCTGTCTGCCTGCTCCCTGGAGATGAGATGGTCTCTGGGCACTAATGAGGCTACCTTACACCCAGGAATCTGGGAACACAAAAGAGGCCTTGGCTGGGGCGCTGGCCTGGGACAGCTGCTAATTAGGGGCAGGAGAGGAGGCAATTGTGAGACCCACCCTTCATAGAGTGTGTAGGGCATTGGGGGGCATCCAGGCTGCAGACTCCACCTCCCACCTCCTGTTCCTTGTCACTGCTCCTGGGGGCCTGTCAGGCTCCAGGGCCTTCTTCCTCTATGGAAAAGGCTTGTTAGCTGGCTCTCCTGCCAGCTCTCCCTTTCCCTCTGCCTGTTCCACCAACCTCCAAAATGGGAAACCTTGAAAACTGTACCTGGGAAGGGGGAGGAAATCAGCCAAGCCTGGTTCCCCAGCTTCCAATCCTGGTCAGGCTGCTGGAGGGGAGGGATGGAGGTGAACAGTCACCATCAGCAGGGAGTGAGCACCACTGGGTGAAGGACATGTGTCATCTCTAGACCAGAGTCTCTCTTATTCAGGGCACTGTCTATTGAGCACCTGCTCTGTGCCAGTCAGTCCCTGCATAGGGTGCTCAAACAACAGTGTGCATAGGACATGGCAGTTTTCAGTGAGCTCAAGTCCAGGTGGGGTTGTAACCAAGCATAACAATAGCTCAGCAAGAGAAAGGACTCTGAAAAGGCCTTGCATGAAATGTGGATATCCATCAGATAAGGGCAGGGAAGAAGGCATTCCTTAGAAGGGACTTGGGCAAAGACTCAGATGACAGTCCTTAGCTCATGTGGGATAGCAGGGTGTGGTCATCAGTCATGACTTCCCTCAGATAAGTGACTGGATAGGCAAGTGAGGCCAGGGTGGGTCCGAGAGTCTTATAGGCTAAGCTGATTGTTTTTGATCCTGTGGGTGCCAGGGAGCCATAGGAGATTTGAGCAGGGAGTCGTGAGCTGATGTGGGGGTCAGGTGGGAAGGCACAGGGGCATGGAATCCAAAGATAATTCAGAAGCAGAACCGGAGACTTAGTGACTGATTGGAAACAGGTGTTGTGTTGCAGAGGTGGTACTGTGGGCCTTGGGCAAGCCTCACAACCTCAAGAAGCCTCAGCTTCCCCACTGGTAGAATGGAGATTAACCCAGATGGTCTCTGGGATTGCTTTCGGCCGGATACTTCATGATGTGCAGCATAGCCCCTGCCCATGGAAGGGATTTGTGGGTGTTGGGCCAGGAAAGGGATCCATGCTAAACTAAGCCAGGGCAAGGGAAGATGGGGAGCAGTTCCTCCATATTTGGGTTAAGCTAGAAATGGCAAGAGGCAGGATGATGGGGCTCTGTCTTCTAGGTTAACCTAGGCCATCTTAGGGTCTCTGAGGGCTCGAGTGCACACACACTTGGAGTCTACCTGATCCTGGAATGGAAAGCAGGGGAAGCCCTGGTGTCCTGAGCCAAAGGGTGGGGGGAATCAGGCTGCGGCAGCAGCAGAACAAACGGGACCCCTATAGTTTCCCCACAAGCAGACTCTGAGTCAAGAATCCCAGTGTGAGAACTTTATTTGGGAGGTGATCCTAGAAAGCACATATGGGAATGGGGATGGGAGGGATGCAAGGAAATCCAGTAAGAACCTTGTGAATGAGAGTTACCACTGTGCACACACGGTGCAGAATACACTTCAGAACTGTCACACTGAGGGACTTTAACACTGAGGTCTTTATTCACCAGCTCCTGTTTCTTATTACTGAGGGTCACTCCTGGAAGCATGAACTCCCAACACTTCCACCTGCCCAGCGCACTGGGCTGAGACACAGGAGCCATCAGCATGTATGGGCACTCTTGCAGTACCTGCCCTGGTGGGCAGAGGCGGCTTGGGCAGGGTGCTGCTGGCATCTGCTATCCTCCTGAAGCAACCCCTCAGAACTGGCTGACTACGTTGGACCTCCCTGAGGCCCAGCAGCTCTGATGGGCAGCTGTCAGGTGTCACAGAGACAAGGACCCTGGCCAAGGGCTCCCCCTCCAGAGAGGCCCCAGAGGAAAGAACAAGGAGGCCTGTGAGGGCAGATGGGGCAGTGGGCAGGCCTCAGCTCAGGACACCACCCTCTTCTGCAGCAACTGAGCCAAGTGCCTGTACCTAAGGACCCGGGGCATCTCAGGAGGGAAGGGGGCCAAAGAGCAGGTGGCCAGGGCTTCCCGGAGGGCTCTGAAGGCCCCCTGATCCACCAGGTGAACTCTGGCAGGGCCCACGCTGCCCCGGAACCGCAGGGACTTGTAGTGGGGAGAGGCTTCCTGAAGGCAATGGTCAAGCTGGAACAAAACAACCTGAGTGACGCTGGGGTGTGGATGAGGTGCAGGCATCTGTGCCCAGGTATACGTGGGTAGGAGATTCATGTGTACAGGTGTGTGTGTGTCTGTGGCACTCATCCCTCCCCTCCCAGGACCCCAGGGAGCTTCTCCTCCCTGCCCTCCTTTACCCTATCAGTCCCTGTGCCCACAGCCCTTGGGGGCGTGGTGCAGGCATATCCTGTCCCTGTCTTGTTTACCTTGTCTCGATTTTCCTCTGACAGGTTCCTCAGCCCCCTCAGCGACACAAACACCTCATAGTGGGGAGCAGAGCCCTCACAGGAATCTGCAGACACCCCCCCCACATACACACTTTTGTGGGGGACAGCTTCCAGTGCAAATGCCCACTGCCCCCACATGTTCTTCCCCACTCTGAATTTTCTTGGCAGGGAGTGGGATAAATGGAGAGGAGTATAATCCTCAATCTGAAACAGGGCAGGAAAGGAAATAGGGAGAGCAGGAGGGATGGCACTTAGACACAGGGCAGGACTCTGTTAGGAGGCTGGGTCTCATCTCCTTCAGAGAAGTCTCCCACTTCTCTGTAGGGGTACAGCCAACCCCAGAATGGAAGGCAGAAGCCAATGGAGAAGCTTACCCAGAATGCTGCTCTCCACACAGCCATGGTCCAACAGCTTGGCCCCTGGCCACTGGCCCACTGCCCAGCCCAAGGCCTCAGAGAACACATCCTCACCAATGTCTTCTCCTCGCACACTCAGGGCCTGGCTCAGCCTGGAGAGGAGGAAGGGGGAAGCAGAGGAGCCCAAGGCACAAGGTCAGCTCCTCAGCAACCCAGGGGTCACCTACCTGCAGATGAACCTGACAACTGGACACTGATTGTAGGTACCAACCACCTGTACCACATCACCCAGGCGACACCTGATGGGGTGGAAGTGGGACTGAGGTCAGGCCAAAGGCCCACTGGCTCATGCCCTTGGCCCTCAACAGGGTCCCAGAGGGCCTGAGGTGGCTGAGTGTGGGAGGTGAGGGAGGGGGCAGCCAGGTAATTACCTGGTATGGCTGGCACGGTCAGTCAGCACGAGCTCGTACTCCTTGCCCTTCTGAGCCTCGGCCAGCAGGACAGTGTGGGCAGACTCTTTCTGGGCTCCTTCCTTGACTGGAAGTAGCTCAATAAAGGGGCCTTCAGGGGGCAGGAGGTAGAGCCCGGCAGGCTGCTCTGGCCACAGGTTTAGGCCCAGCACCCCTGTGGGAGCAAGTGGCCTCTTCATCTGTGGTGTCCTTGCTTTCTGCTGGCAGTAGCCTCCCACCCTGGATCCCAGGCCCCAACCCTCTGAGCAACTGACCCCACTGCTGCCCTTTCACACACCCCTTTCTGGCTCCCCCAGGCTCAGCCCACTGCCTCTAAGGCCCTAATTGGGAACAGGCGGTTGTTCTGGAGGTGGCAGACCTGGGTGGGGAGGGTGGGGTATAAATGTATGAATTTGTGCAAATCTCTTAAGATTTCATGAGCCTCAATGAACCTCAGTTTATCAGTAAAGTAGAGCCACAGGTGTAGGGAGACTAAATGAGATGATTATGTAGGGCTTACTACCCTTGAGTCCTGCTGACCTCCAGACACAGCATAAGCAGGTGAGAAGAAGGCTAGCCCTTGGCACCATAAGGCCCCCAGGGCAGCCACAGCCTCGGCCTGGCCTCCTGCATCCAGAGTTACCACCAACTGCAGCTCTGGCCAGAGCCGAAGGGCCAGTCCTCGGGGTCCCTGCTCAAGAGCTTCCTGCAGCTCAGCTGCCCGTCTGGGGAGAGGTGCTCCTGGGTTACCAGCAGCTATTGCCTCAGCCAGCAATTCCACACTGGCCTCCAGGCCCAAGAAGACATCCAGGAGTTCGACTGCCGTCCTGGCTTCCAGTGCCCGCAGCCCTGGGGACCTCAGTGCCTCCAGCAGCAGGGCCCAAGAGTCCTTGGCTCCAGGTGGGCTAAGCTGGCCCAGGGTGTGCCAAGGCCAGGGGAGGGGGTGGGGCCAGGCGGACGCTGGGGTCACACGGGCAGTGCCTCCCGGAGCCAGCACTTCAGGGTAGGCCCTGTTTAGAGCTGCCAGACCCAGCAAGGTGGCCTAGAGGGAGATATGAGAGCGTGCTGGCCCTCGGTCTGAGCCAGACCCTGAGCCCCCAGGTGGAGGTTCTCCGCCCACCCTGGTGGGAAGGTTTGCTTACAAGCAGGGGTCTTTGGTGGGGCCGGGCTCCAGCTTCTCAGCTTACCTGCAGAGAGGCCTCCCCACAGTGCTGGTCTGAGGTAGGTGGCAGGCCCTGCTCCCCACTTTCCTTCTCCTCAGTCTGGCAGGCCTTGGTCAGAGGAACATGATTCCGGAAGGCGCTCATATCTGCAGCCCCAAGACACCATATACTCCTCAGGAAGCCGCAGTTCCCAAAGAATTTCAGGCAAGCCTGGTGAGAGCTGAGAGCAGGCACCCAGCACAGGCATGTGGGCAGGGGGCCCGAGGGCCAGGACGGAGCCGCCTAACAGTTTTGGGTCCGGGTGTCTCCGGTCAGCCTCCGTGGGCGGCAGACCGGGAGGCGGTATTTCAGGTTTGGAATCCGAGGTTCCGGGGGGGCTTCTTTCCCACGGGCCCTCCCGACCCCCGCTGATCCCGGAGACCCACCTGCGCTCGCCCCGCGGGGACGGCGGGGCCCCTGGGCGCGCAGACACCGCCTCAGGGCCCGCCGCTGGCTCAGGCCCGCCTGCAGCGTGCTCTGCTCCAGTCTCCTCCGCTGCCAGGCGGCCGCCCAGCACAGGAGCCCCAGTGCCGCACGGTGCTGGAGGCCAACGAGCCAGGGCAGCCTGGCATCCCGGGGCGACTTTTGCCGGAACGCGGCCCACGGCGGCGGCGGGAGCAACAGGAGCAGCAGCAGCGGCAGGAGCAGCAGCAGCAGGAACAGCACCATCACTTCCCAGCAACCCGTGGGAGGGCGGAGGCCCAGCCGCTGTGGAGGAGGGGTGCCCCACTCCTTCCCGCCGCTCCGCTGCGCACCGGAGGACAGGCAGGGGGTGCGCAAGAGAGTACAGCAAGGCTTTGGGGTCACGCCGCCCTGAGTTCGGATCCCGCCCGCGCCGCCTGTTGGCTGTACGGCCCTGGGTGTCCCGCAAGCTGCCCGACCAGTAAAACCGGGGTAATACCTCCCTCGGCAGGTGCAGAAAGGGCTTGAGGGGTGCGTGGCACACGGCGCTGCTTAGTGGACGAGAGCGGCTCCGCCTCTGCGTTCCTTGCCCCAGCGTCCACCCGTCCCGGCTCCGGGTCCCTCCCGAACCCCGGGCAGTGGCCCACACTACGTGCACCTGTCGCGGCCCTCTGCCAGCCCCGGTGCCCAGGGCCCCCAGCACTTCAGTCTCAGTACACAGCCGGCCGGAAAGACGGAGCCGCGGCTTTAAAGGGCTGGGCCCAGAGCGGGAAATCCGGCCACGAGCTTAGGGAGGATCTGCTGTGGGGCGTGCTCTTAAAGGGGCAGGCTGCCTCAGGGGCGCCACCGGTCCGGGGCTGGCCCACTCTGGAAGAGGGGTGCGGGGGGGTCCTCAAACTCCCGCAGGTGAAAGAAGGAAAAGTTGAATGCAAAGAAGAGTGCTTGAAGCAGCTTCAACTGGGAAATGGGTGTACCCCGTTCTGGAGCACGTTCAAGTTTGAGAACTGTTCAAAAGCAAAATTGTCTCCCAGTCCAGAAATCTTTTCTACAAAGGCAGTAAAGAAAGACAATTTTTGTTAACGAATAAAGCATTTAACCAGAATGTGATGCACATTGGAGGCAATCTGCTAAGAGAGTGCAAAGACAGACAGAATCTCACTCCCTCATACAGCCGCCCCAGACAGATGCTGTTACACACAGGGGCTCAAGATAAACCATAACTAGTCCTCAAGTAAGGGGACCTGACGGCACCATTTGTCACACATAGTTATCTTAACTCTACCTGGTGATTGGGGCCACCAGTTGTGCTTGCTAATAGGCTTGATATGAAGGAAAACGAAATTTGTCCCATCTTTGTGACAGGAGATAGTTTTGCAACTTGGAGCAAGGTGCCCACCTAAGTTAGGCTCTTACACGTTCATACTGTGAAGTTCATGAAAGCTGGGCTCTAGAATGAGGTTCTGCTCTCCGTGGTTAAGCCTTCCCCCATCCTGTGCTCTTTTATCAAGGTTCTCAGACGCTAAATCCTTTCAAACTTGACCTGCCTCTATATCTTGAAACGCTTGTCTTCTTTTCACAGCTGAGCTCCTTTGCATGGATCTACTCTATCAGGTTACCTGCCTTACTTTCATGTCTTTTTATTTCTTGTTTATATCTTTCACTTGATTTTTTTAAAATAACAGGTTTATTAAATATAATTCACATACCACACAAAATCACCCAAAATGTACAAGTCAGTGGTTTCCAGTACATTCACAGATGTGGACAATACCAACAACAGTCAATTTTATAATATTTTCATCAATTTCAAAGTCACCCATTACCCTTTAGCTGTCACCCCCTCCCCAATCCCTTCCCACCTCCCCACATGGAGGCCTAGGTGACCACAAATGTTTCTCTACAGATTTGACTGTTTTGGACATTACATGTAAACGGAATCATCTAAGACATGTATTTTTGTGACTGGTTTCTTTCACTTAGCATATTTTCGAGGTTCTTCCATTTACTATATTGTTTCAGTAGTTATTCCTCTTTGTGGCCAAATAGCATTCCATTGTAGATATACCACCCCATATTTAATTATCCATTCATCAGCTGATGGACATTTGGGGCATTTCTACTCCTTGGCTATTATGTATAATGCTGTTATGAACATTGGTGTACAAGTTTTCCATGGACCTATGTTTTTATTTTTTGTGTGTAAAAATGGAATGTAAGTGATTTGTTGGATTCTAATGAAAGGAATGTCTGGGTGGAATGGCTGGGTTGTTTAGTAACTCTTTAACTGTTTAAAGAGTTACTAAACTGGTTTCTAAGATTTTACATCCCCACCAGCAGTGTATGAAGTTCCAGTTTCTCTACATCTGTGTCAACATTTGTTACTATCTGACCTTCTGATGATAGCCACCTAGTGGAGTGTGATGTTGGTTTTAATTTGCATTTCCCTGATGACTAATGATGTTGAGCATCTTTTCATGTGTATATTGGCCATCTGTATACTTTTTTGGAGAATTATCTGTTCAGATCCTTTACCAACTTTTTAAATGAGTTGTCTTTATTATTAAGAGTTCTTTATATATTTTACATACTATAAGACATATGCTTTGCAAATATTTTCTCCCATTTTTGTGGGTTTTTATTTTTTTAAATTGAAGAATAATTGACATACAGTATTTTATTAGTTTCAGTTATACAACATAGTGATTTGATACCTATATATTATGAAATGGTCACTACAATAAGTCTAGTGATCATCTGCCACCATAAAAAATTGTTACAATATTACTGTTTTTCCTGTTGTACACTGCATCCCTATGTCTTATTTATAACTGGAAGATTATACCTCTTTCATTTTGATTATGTCCTTTTTAGCACACATTTAAAAATTTTTGATGGTCTAATTACCTATTTTTTCTTTAGCTGCTTGTGCTTTTGGTGTCATATCTAAGAATCCATTGTCAAATCTGAGGTCATGAAAATTTACCTGTATGTTTTCTTCCAAGTTTTATAATTTTGGTTCTTAAATTTAGGTCCTTGATCCACTTTTTATTGTGGTAAGACACACTTCAGATTTGCCATTTTAGCTATATTTCAGTATCCACTTCAGTGGCATATAGTACATTCACACAGTTGTGCGACCATCGCCATCATCCATCTCCAGAACTTTCTTGTCTTCCCAAATCGAAGTGCCACATACCCACAACACATTAACTCCCCCTTCCCCCTCCTCCTAGCCTCTGGGAACTACCATTCTATTCTGTCTTTGTGAATTTGACTCTAGGCACCTGACACAAGGGGAATCACACAGTATTTATCCTTTTGTGCCTGACTTATTTCAGTTAGCATAATGTCTTTAAGACTCATCCAAGTTGTAGCATTTGTCAGAATTTCCTTCCTTAAAGCTGAATAATATTCCACTGTGTGAAGAGACCACATTTTATCCATTCATCCACTGAGGGACATATGTGTTGTCTTCACCTTGTGGCTATTTCAAGTAACGCTGCTATGAACATGGGTGTAAAAGTACCTGCTTAAATCCCTGCTTTCAATTCGAGTATATACTCAGAAGTGGAAGTGCTGGATCATAGGGCAATTTTATTTTATGTTTAGTGTTTTGAGGAGCCACCATGCTGTCTTCACAGCAGCTGCACTATTTTACATGCCTACTTGCAATGCACAAGGACTCCAATTGTTTCACATCCCCTACAACAGTTGTTTTCTGGTTTTGTTTTCATAATAGCCAACCTAATAGATAAGAAGTGGTATCTTATTGTGGTTTTGATTTCCATTTCCCTAATGTTTGGGCATTTTTTGTGTGCATATTGGCCCCCTGTATATCTTCTTTGGACAAATGTCTATTTGTATCCTTTGCCCATTTAAAAACTGTTGCTGTTATTATTGAAGAATTCTTTATACTTCTGGACATTAATCCCTTATCAGACACATGATATGCAAATATTTTCTCTTTCCCATTTTGTGGGTTGCCTTTTCAGTTTCTAGTGTCCTTCGATGCACAAAAGAAAAACAGGACTCAACACTGGCTCTTCAGAGGAAGCCTTTATTGTAACATAAAATACACATTTTTCTGACTGCCCCAAATTGTACACAATACTTTTTTGGTGGCTATATACTAATTCACTTCAACACTAAAATCTGTATCTGAAATAATTTCACAAAGTTTTAAAATGAAAAATTATAAAAAGTATACTTCCATTTTAAGTTATATCTGCTTTTAGTTTCTCCCCTCACCCTCAAAAAAACCCTGCACATACCACACATTGAAACATTTTGATGATGATGTGTGTGTGTGTGTGTCTGGAGCGAGTGAGAGGCTGAGGCGGTAAGGACTTGCCATGGCCTCTTCTTGTGGTTTGCAGGCACAGGGAGAAAAGAGAAAATAAAACGTAGGTAGCAGGGGTACTTTTCAGTCAAAATCCCTCCCATCTACAGGCACAGCCTCAGGAAACAGGACAGCTCAGGAACGCTGCTGGTGTGGGAACCCCGGCTCCTCGGGGCAGCCACAGTGTTCGGCACCTGTCTCCCAACCCCAGGACCTACTGTAAAGCGAGAGCTGGGCCCTCAGCGTGCCCTAGGGCTGGATCCACTACCCATCTGAAAGTGTGTCCCTCCCTGCACCCCGTCAGGGCTGCTGGAACAACAGGGCACCCCTCAGAGGCAGGTGCTGCCGAAGGCCAAGTGGCCAGCGGCAGGTATGGGAGGTGAGGGCCCTCTAGCCTGGGCCTCCCGCAGGCCGACTTCCATTTCACCTTTCCCTAACACTCCCATCCTTGGGGTGGAATTTTAACCAAATCTTGAGGGGTACAGAAGGGGCTTAGCAGCATCCCACGCCAAGGCTGGTATCCACGGAGGGGTTGGCCTGCTCGTCGGAGGCAGAGAGATTCTACTGCCCGGCATAGAAAAATAAATCAGTGTATGAAATCAAGCCAGAGCAAACAGCAGCTTTTAAAAAGTTATCTTCCAATAAATAATTTACTACAGAGGAGTATGTTCCTTCAGCATCAAAACACTGATAAATTCAGAAATTATTTCTGTAAAAAAAATATCTATTCACATGTATAAAAATAAGGATTTTAGGGCCATTCTCTCCTGGGTGTGTGTGGTTATGTCCTTCTTACGGAGAGGGGGGCCAAGGGATGACCTTGGAGGCGTACTCCAAAAGCTATACCTGCTTCCCCCTCTTCTCGTCTACCTGCCACAGCCCATGCCTTCCTTCTGGTGTAAAGCTGCTAAAGAAATTGTGGACCAAATTATGTGGAGGCTTTCTGGTTTTGTTTTTGCAGCTTACCAAACTTCCCAGCAAGCCTGCTGACTGCATCTCCCCAATGGACAACGCCCAGCACCCAGCACTCTGCACCAGGTGGGCCAAGAACATTGAACCCCCACTGAACATGCTGGCCCTGGGTTCAGACCCCACTCCTGCTGCCCACTTCCCAAGACAGCGTGTGTGAACACTGAAGGGACATGAGGTGGCCTGGTTATAATGCCACAGGACCTGATGCAGGAAAAAAGAATTCTGATGTCAAATTAGTGTGGGGAGGGGAAAGCAAAAAGTCCCAATTTAGAAACAAAAACACCATCCAATGTCTGCAAACGGTCATTATCAATAAGCCTCCAGACAGCCTGGCGTGTGCCTCCATCAGCGCATAGGAGGGATGGGCAGACGGACCGGCAGCTTCCCTGGGCAACAGGGAAGCTTTCTCAGCACCTGGCAGCCAAGGCCGGGCATTCCACACAGGCTGAAACACAAAGCATGTCAACACTGCAAGCTTTGTTACATGACCCTCCCCTTCCCACTAGGTCACCAGATGCATCTGCAGGGGCACACACAGGAACAGAGAGGGGGAAGGAGGAGAAGGGAAAGAATATCTAGACGGGTTAGGTGTTATTTAAAAAGCCACTACCCATCAGAGAACCCATGACTTCCCTTGCCCCAGCTATCATTTTATGTCTCCCCTTTGCCCATCCCTACCCAGGAAAATGGGGGTGGGAAAGAAGGAAGGAGGACTGATATTCTTTCTCAAAAGGCAGTTTCTACATTTCAGAAGAGAAGCAGAGACAATCATGGTTCTATATCAATTGCTTGGTATACACAGTAACAAAGAGTCACCAGAGAGAAGGTGCTTTCTCCTCCCACAGTCCTTCTCTTACTTTAACAGCCGCATGTAGAAATATAGCCACCCTCAAGACACACGGCCAAGTTCAGGGTTCATGGAACTGCCTTTTTGCACAAGGTTAAAACCACCATAGCCTCTGTTTGTGGCCCCTATGCTGTACTAAACTATAAACAGCAAGTGGGAGAAACACCACAACATGCAAACTCATTCATACACTCACACACTCACACTCCCTTCACTGGTGCCACCATGCACAGAAACACTCACGTCACAACTAGTATTAACACTTCACATTATGAGTATTGTTTCCAAAGAGAAGCGATTCATGGAATTAAAACATCCACAAGAGTAACTCCCCTGGCGAGGATGAAGAAGCTGAAGATGGGGGGGGGTCGGGGCGCGTCACGACTGCGCATGAGGGATCCACTGACTGTCCATAGGTCGGCCCAAGAGTTCCTCCACACGTCGTGCCACATCCATTGTGTCATCCAGGTCAAAGTCCCCATCGTTGTCAAGGACAGGGTCAGGGCTTGGGAGGGAGAGAGAAGAGAGAGAAGGGAAAAGTTGTCAGAGGCCATGATGAGCAGCCCCCGACACCCTGCATCCAGCAGCTGAGCGGCCCGGGACTGCCCGAATGCTCAGCCTAGGCTTCGTGGGCAAAGAGCTGCGTCTGATCGAAACGCTGGGGAGCACAGTCCTGTACTGGCTACACGGAGAGACTCAGCCTAGACTCCCCACCCAGCTGCCCCAACACTGCTGTGCACACATCTAAACCCCCTATCTGGTCCTCCTACAGAGCAAGGAAGACCTCCATTTGGGGAGTGGGGAGATGACATTTGCCCAACCCCACTCTGAACTACCAATATCTTCTGGCTCCATCTCTCCCTCCCTTCACCTGGGCACCTGCCAGAGCCCAGCCTGGGCTGGGTGGCCTCAGGCCTAAGGAGCTCTGGATTTCTTTGCCCAGTGGCCCTCTGAGGGGCCAGCCTAAGGCCAAGCGCCCAGGCCCTCCCCACAGAGCCCCAAAACACGACCTACTTCTGTGGGAACATGTTATAATGAGCCTGGGGGCACACGGCTGGGGAGGGGGCCTGGTCCATGTAGGTGGCGCTGCCCCCCGCAGACTCTGCAGATGCGCTCACAAACCTGCAGAGGAAGCAGAGCAGGGCCTCAGCTGCCTTGGGGAGGGGCTCAGGGGGCATCTTTATGTCTTTTCTGGGGATAGAAGGGGCTGTGGCTGCAGGAGTGGGGCCCTGGGTACTGCCCCGTGGTGACTAAGCCCAGTTCCCTCCCCAGGCTGAGTGGGGTTTTGGGGAAAGGGCAGGCTGGGCACACTGGGCCCGTGGATGGGAGGAGCAGCAGAGCGGGGTGAGGAGAGCCGGGGGGACAGAAGAGGCAGCAGGGGGCCAGAGCTGGACCCTGGACACTTACTCAGGGACCACTTGCTTGATCTGTGGCTTCACATATCCGTCCACTGCTTTAGCTGCCAAGGGGGGAATGGTGATGAGAAGCAAAGTTCTCAAATGAAATAAAAACACAATTTCCCTTCTTTTCACCTAATTTAACTTAGGATCTGACATAAGCACTTAATATTTTAATCTGTTAGGAGGACCTGGTAGAGGAGAAACCTTAATGCTAAAACTCCAAGTGAAGATGTCTTCCAAGCTGGTTGGCATGTGCTAATAAATTCTTCAAACCACAGAAAATATGTACTTCAACTCAAATCTAAATTGAGCATTAACTGCATAGTAACTGTAAAAAGAAAAAATATCTTAAAAAGTTTCAAGTCACAGATGCAGCAGAGGGACAGGACTTGTTCTGTGTCCCAGGGGACAAAAACATGACCAATAGAAGGTCCAAAGAGAAAGAATTTTCAGTCATATAAAGAAGAAGGTTGCCATAATTAGAGCTGCCCAGAAAAGAAATGGGCTGTGTGGGGAAGAACTGATGTTCTTATCACTGGAGGTTTTCAAGCAGAGGGTGTACAACACTTGTCAGGCATCACACAGAGAAACCTAAGCATGAGAGAGGAATGGGTGGGACTTGAGGACCCAGAAGTTATTCTGACTCTGAATATCTACTCTTCGAGGAAAGGGAATGTCACTCTTTCTTGTATCTGCGTGTGTACCCTTGGGGTTCTGCATTTGGGGTTAATCTGATGGCCACTCATGCCAGCGAGTGTCATCTGTGCCCCACAGCTGGTTCAAAAGAATGCTGGTGTTTCACTCTCCACTGAATCCCCACTGCGATGTGGTAGGCTAGGGACAAACCTGAGAGTGATCTGGTGAGCCATAGCTTTGAAAGGCTGGCTGTGGAAATCCTATTAAGTAGGTAGAAGGAATATGATAGTCTGATGGTGGTGAATTAAATAAGTCTTGTTTCCTGGGTATGTGAGTATGGGGATAAGTGTGATCTTAACTGTACTAGACAATGAAGACTACTACACTGAGGACAACAGGATGAAGAACTTGTCAGTCAAACAGCCCAAGACAGGGCCACCTGGTTCACAAAGTACTGGTCATCCTAAACTGCTTGTGCTCTGGCTTCAAATGTCATGTGCTACCTTTCCATAGTATCTCATGTTTTTATACACTTTATAATCTACAGAGAATTTTATAGGTTGGAAGAAAAGATAAAAACCTAAGAAATGCTGTAAAAAATAGGATTTAAAAATCTAGGTTAGTTGTGCTAAACAAAAACACAGTGATAGGTTTAATCCAAAATATAACATACACTGAAAATATCTTGGCTTATTTCCCCATGCAAACATAGAACCATTATCTTAGGGTGGGGAAGGCAGGATACAAAAAGCAGACTCTATGAAGGAAACAGGTTGGCAGATTGAGTCATATAGAAAATACAACTTTTGCACCTAACCTAGCAAAAATAAAACTTAAATGTTAAAAGAACAATGACACACTGAAGAAAAAAATATATATAATAAAGGGTTTATTTGCTTTATTTACTGCTATATGTAATAAATAGCATTTGTTTATTGCTATATGTAATAAAGGATTTATCTACTATATAAAAATACTTACACATCATTAAGGAAGAAAGGAACCTCAAAAGAAAAATGAACAGGGAACATACACATACTTCACAGAAAAAACACAAACGGCCAATAATGTGGAAGTTAAGAAATACAGGTCCTGGAGCTAGACTGTTTGAGCTCAAATCCTGGCTTGGCCACTTTTGGGCTGTGCTACCTTTGGCAAATTATTTTACTTCTCTGTGCTTCAGGTCCTCATATGCAAAGTGGGGATAGTAATAGTACCTACTTCATAGACTTCACCTTTAATTTGAAGGTTAAATGAGATACTGTGAAATGTGCTCAAAATACTGTCCATAAGCAGTAAGCTAATAACAGTAAATGAACACTAAGCATTCGATAAATTTTAGCTGCTATTATTACCCTATTTATGACTATTGTTATTACTATAATTATATGACAAGATGTTCTGAACTTACCTAGAACCAAGGAAGTAAAAATAAGAACTAGGACATGATTTTTATGCCAATCAGACTGGCAAATATGAAAGGGATGCACAGATGCTATGACTGGCAGGAGGATGGCAAAGCAGTTACTCCAACAGACATCTGTAGGAGGAAAACGGATTTCCCCTTTCTGGAGGGCAATTCTGCAAAGATGTGTCAAAATGCTTAGAAAGTATATACCCTTTGACACCAAATCTACTTTAGGAATTTATCCTAAGGAAACAGTTGAACAAGATGTATGGACCAGGTTATCTCAGTGTTAATCATAACAAAAAACTGAATAACTTGAACTGTATCTTAAATAACTGACATGGCCTCATCAGAAAATGGAATTATATGCCACCATTAAAATGATATAAGATGTTATTTACTGACCTTAACTCTGCCTATGATATATTTTTAAGTGGAGGAAAGAAAAAAGTCAGGTTGCAAATGATGATGCATAGTATGACCCAAGCGGGCCCCTCCTTTTGCTTTGCCCTCATCTGCTACCACTTTCTTCCTGCTCAGGAAGCTCGTTTCAAAAACCTTTGAAAACTCGAAAGGTTTCTCAAACACATCAACCTCACTCCCACCTCAAGGTTTCTGCACTTGGTAACTCAGATTTACAGTGTTTCCTCTCTAGATCTTTGCATGGCTAGCTTCCTCACTTCATTCAGGTCTCTTCTGACATCACCTCCTCAGAGAAATCTGCCTTGACCACCCTAACGAAACGCTGCCCCCCCATCCTCCTCCTGTCACTTCTCTATTGCTTGGCAGATCCCTTGCCTACTTCACAGTGTCCATCACTAAATTACTTACTTGTTTACTGTCTTCCTTTCACTACTACATTGTAACCTCTGCAAAGGAAATATACTTGGTAAGCAGCTGGTGACAATGAATGAAGAATACTATCTCTATAGATTGGGAGAATATTTATTAAATTGTTCCCAACGGTTCATTTCTAGATGAGAGATGTGTGAGATCTATTTTCCTTTCTACATCTTTCTGGAAATTTTACAATAAATACATAACACTTTTAGGTTCAGAAAACAATACAAACATCTCTGTTTTGAAATACAAAATTTTACCTTCCTAATTTATTTGATCTAAGCTTGTTTGAAAAGCAATTTGCTCCTTTCAATCTGATACATGGAGTTAATGGCAGGTATATTTTCTGTATGACTGAAGATTGCCCAGGATTCACATCTACCCTGGATAAGCTCAAACAACAGTAACAAAGTACTAATTGTTTTAGGTTTTCATGCAAGACAGACGCACAGTCACACAAAACTAAAACACAACCAGAATCACAACAGAACCAAATCAGAGTGCGAGCACTGTTACCAGTGGCGGGCTCGCATGGGACTGGCGTGTAATATTTGGAGTATACTTCATCTTTGGGCCGGTCAGGAAACACGTAGATGAGGTAATTCAGGTCCCCCAAGCGGTCGGCCAGGGACCGGATGGAGAAGTCTCTGGTAGTAAAAGGCATCAGATTCCAAAACATTCTTTCCTCTAGATCAATAAACAGAACAATCATATTCTAAACATGATTTCTGAATAGGAAACCTTAAAACAGCTATGCTACAAATTAATACTCTCTATTAAAATTGCCCCAATAAAAATATCCATTAAAAAATAACCACAGCTTGTAGATCAAGTAATGTTTTTAAGCCATGGGTAGATAAGCAGGTAATGCATTCGCCACTTCCCTAGAGATCCAATGACCTCAGGTAGTTTCAAGTTCAAATGGCATTCTGTCCCTCTCTAGAAGAAACAGCTCTTACTGACCAATCCGTGAGTCCCTTATATGTAAACGCATGTAAGAGAAACAGGAAGCATGTACAGAGCCAGAGGACGTGTGAGGGCTATTAAAATCTTTATAAGTCACAAGAAAACTAGCACACTACTCTTATCTTACTTACAGTGAGGGTCAGAGGGAAGAACTAACATTCTTGGGTGGAAATGGTCAACAGCAATATACTTATGTGAACTAGGACAAAGGAATAATTAAAATAGCATATTATTTATAGTCTACTGACTCCAAGTCATCAAAGTAATTCTTCACTAAAATAAGCTAGAGGTTGAATAACAAGGCAAACATTTCGAAACAAGCAGCAGCTGAAATTGTGAACAGAATGTGGTGTTTCATGTAGCCACTGTGTCAGGGTTGCACACTTTTGTTTCTCAGAACTAGTAAATGTGTTTCCCATGACAAGAGTTCCCATGGCATGTCCCATGACATAGGCTGCCCTGTTATCAACAGCTATGTCACAGTTATACATGTGTGTTCCTTTCATCAGTACTGGCCTCTTAGTAAGTACTCAGTGAGTCGTCAGAGTAACCTGGCAATGAAAGCCGCTAACCAGAGCTAAGATATGCTTTATAAGGGTGGGGCACTCACGAGAATCAAACTTCCAGGCAATGGTGATGCCACCAATTTCAGAGTCGCTGAATCTCAGCAGGAAGGTCCCATCAGGCTTGTTGATGAGTAGGTCATGGGCCTGTTGCTTGTTCACAAAACCCAAAATAGCCCTGGATCACAAAGACCAGAGAGGCAGACAGAGCATGATGTTTCAACGTGGAAAAGATGACCTAACTCAATTAGTGATTAAAGAAACGACGGTTCTCACCCATCATTCCAATGAGGCTTAAGATGTTTTTTTAACACTTCCATTACACCATCAAACCACTGCCAGAAAGTGTAATTCCGTCCGGGTAAATTCTCCTGGTCGGACACAACAGTGAACACGAGAAGACATGAGTCACACTGGAATATCACCTGTATATTACATTCTTTAACCAGAAAATCTAGGTGGAAAGCAAACGTCTATTTTGTCAGAATCATACCAACGTACACACCTGCCTGACTTTTTACCAAATGGTCCTACAACCAAACACACAGAACAGAGAGGAAAAGAGGGAGGAAGGGGAAAATACCACAGAGAGATGACCCACACCGCCTGGGCTCCTGCTGCGAACTTTCCACCTAGATCTGGGCTGACCGGTTCTTTGATGTGTGGTCTGACCAGCAGAAGCACCCCCAGGAGCTTCTGAGAAATGTGTATTTTCAAGCCCCATCTCAGACCTGCCAAGCCTGCAGCTCAACAAGATGCTTCAGTGATGTGTAAATCTGGACTGGATTAGATCACCCCGGGAGGCCACAGAGATCGCTCCCTTGCACAGCTGTTACCAATAATTATTAGCAAAGTGCAGTTATCTGATTCTGCTGGAAGGCAGAAAATTTACTGCAATGGCAAAGGCAGACCACTGAGACCTTCCCTGTCCCTATCAAAACTCCTCTGTCTACAGTAAACCTGTGTACCAACTGCTTAGCACACAGCCATTTACAAGACTACAAAGTCTCTGAATTAGGGTGTTTAAACACTTGGGGAGGGGTATAAGCACAGAAACAAAAGTTAAATTTATACCAAAGATGTGACAGGTGATATCTGAAAAAGTTTCCTTTGTCGGCATCCCCTTTTGAGGGTTGAGGGTGCATCACACATCAGGGGACATCAGCGAGTCAATGGGACAGAGCTGCGGAGTCCTCATCATCACAAAAGCTTTACTCCTCATGAGGTGTGTCAGCATTTGCTACTTCCTCAGCATAGTAAGATGTTATAGAGTCACTACTTGTCTTCTCTGTGCTATAAATGCGCTAGCTGCATACAGAGCCTAACTTACTAAATAGTCAAAGAGGTAATTTTCTACATAAACACATGCGGTTGTCCTCTTTTCCGTGGCTTTCCTGTTACTTTGGGGACATTTCATTACAGACACGAAGAACAAGGGCCCAGAGCAGGGAGACTCTAAAGGCAACTGGTTGGGAGGGACCGAGCTGAGAAAGGCAGCTCCGGCAGCCCTCACCCTGTTGAACTGGGACCAGGACACAGACATGCCGCTGTAGTCCTCCAAGTGGCCGCTGCTGCTGTTGAACAGCTTCTGCGCCAGGAACACAAGGTTCTCCTTGGTCAGGCCCCGGTTGCTCTGCACTTCGGCCTTGAATTTCACGTTGAGCGCTTCACACAGCTGTGGCCACAGCACTTTGTCAGGCACGGCAAATGGCACCCTGCCCTGAGGGGACAGAAGCCAGAATCTTATGAGAAAACAGCTGCATGATTTATTCCCTCCACCCACAAAAGAAAAACACTGATGGCTGGATATAGTTACAAATGGTTGCCTTGCTCAGCCGGAGGATAAAGTCAAACTTTATTGGGGTAGGCAGTTCTGTGCAATTCAGAAGGTTCCATTTTGCCTGCTTCATACAACTTAGACGGTAACCTCATGCCATTTGTGGTGCTCTCTAAATGAGCCACTGAACGTACAGTCCACCCCTATGTTCTAAAAGCCACAAAAACAAAACATGACCAAGGTCTGGCTCTTAGACAGTAAACTCAATGGGAAGAGAAATCTAAAAAACTGGGTCTCTAGGGACACACACACACACACACACACACACACACACACACACTCACACCCCTTCTGCCAAAGAACTCTAGCTCAAAGTGAAACAACTTAGTATGAAGAGTGGAAACTGCAAGCTGGATGATTTTACTGAAAAACGGGTTAGAATTTGACTTTTTTAATAACCACTTTTCATTCCATTCAGCCACAGCAATTCATTTTAATTATAACAAAAGTATTTTTGAATAGGCAATTCATTCACATGAAATAAAAATTGAAAAACAGAAGGGTATACAGTGAAGTCACTTTCCTATCCCTGCTCCCCAGCAACCCCATTCTTCTTCCCAAAGCATGGAATCTAGTTTATTGTGTATACCTCCAAAGATAATCTACATGTGTCAGCAATATAATTTTTCCTTCTTAAAAATGTAAGTGGTAGGATTTGCAACAACATGGATGGAGCTAGAGGATATTATGCTCAGTGAAATAAGCCAGGCGGAGAAAGATAAGCACCAAATGATTTCACTCATCTGTGGAGTATAACAACAAAGCAAAACTGAGGGAACAAAACAGCAGCAGACTCACAGAACCCAAGAAGAGACTAGTGGTTACCAAAGGGGAGGGAGTGGGGAGGGGGTGTGGGAAGGGAGGGAGAAGGAGATTAAAGGGCATCATGATCAACACACATAATGTAGGGGGGTCACAGGGAAGACAGCGTAGCACAGAGAAGACAAGTAGTGACTCTATAGCATCTTACTATGCTGATGGACAGTGACTGCAATGTGATGTGTGGGGGGACTTGATAATAGGGGTGAATGTAGTAACCACATGTTGTTCATGTGAAACCTTCATAAGATCATATATCAATGATACCTTAAAAAACAGATAATATGAGAAAAAATATGTAAGTGGTAGGTTAAAACCCACTTTTATATATCTTCTTTTTTTCACTTAATAGCATATCTGCAAGACCTCACATCAGCACATAAATTCCTTTTTCTTTTGTGGCTGCTAAATAGTCTACAGAACGGAGTGACAGATCTGGTTAAATAACAGATTTAACTAGACACCCCCCAGATGGGCATTTATGTATTACCCCCAGTCTTTAGCTATTACAAACAATGCTGCAATGTCCTTTTGTCATTTGGCATATATGCAAAATAGCTGTAGACTAAATTCCCACATGTAGGCACTTATTTTGAAACAGCATAAAAGGTACAGTGGTCATTAACATAACTGAAAATGTTAAAAATTCATATTTATTTAGACAAGATACTTTAAGAATGAGATGTTGCAGGAGATGCCAGCATTATATGGGGTGGGGAGGGGTGGGATTTGCAGACAGGCAGGGAAGGAAATGACAGAAGATACGGAAATCGTATCCAGGAGGCTGATCAGGACTTGATGTAGGCAGGTATTTTTTTAAAAGGAGCCTCAAACTCAGGGATTGTAGCATAAGCACAGAATTTCTGCTAAAAATCTCACCTTTGCAGCAAAAATATTGTTCTTTAAAGAGGATTGCTGAGAATGCTAAGTAAGACTCTCCACATTAGAGAAGGACATACTTTCATGTCCCAAATAATAACTCTAACCCTTTCATCAAGCTTTTGTAGCTTGGTCTCTATTGGACATATGCAAGATAGAACTTTGTCTACTGGAATGTTTTGAAAATGCTCATCAAATAGTGCACTAGCGGTACTCAGATAGCATTCAGGTGCATAAGCCACAAAACCATATTTGTTCCTTTACACAAAGCATTTCATTCTTCATGAGAGATCTGGGGTGAATCACAGAATCTAAAATTTGGAGAAGACATTAAATATCACCCTCATTTATTGGAAGACCACAGGAAGCAACTGTTAAGCTAAAGTAACTTCCTAAGAGGTCTAACTTATAGAAGGGGCTTGGAAGCCCCAAATTCCATTCATAGTTACCCAACAGTTCAAAATTATGTTTACTGAGTACTAATTATGAGACAAGCATTTTGTCTGTTATCTAATTTAATCTTCCTAAAAATGTTATGGAGCATTATTGTCCCTGTGTTGCAGATGCTCCTGGGAAACAGGCTCAGAGAGGTAGAGTGAAATTCCCCTGGTCACAGAGTGAAGGAATGATAGAGCTTGAACTCAAACCTTGGCCTGACTTCAAGCCCATGCTCTACTTCCCACATCCTCTCCATTCTGCCTCCCACTAGGGAAAACACCATTTTTTTATTATGCTTTTTTTGAGGATAACACACAAAAGAGATTCATGACATCAGTATCATATCTTGACACCCACAGGCTCAAGGAATCCACTCACAGGCTCTGCAAAAGCATTGTCCCAGAGAACAGTGGCCGTTGCATTGTTGTCCTGGCTGCCATGAACAATCACCACCACCGGGAGTGACAGGGTCTAAAAAGGCACAGGAGGAGGGCTGAGTGCTGGCAACCCCACTTTCTTCCCTTCTCTTTTTCTATCATCTGTTCCTTCTCTCTTCAAGTTTCAGTAAATGTCAACCTCAAATACAGAATCTGAATGGCTCCAGGAATAACAGGACTTCTCACACCAGCACAATCCTAAAACTTTTAGGTATTTTAAAAGAGATGTTGTCTAGGTATTTCTGAAGGATGGGGTACATTTCTCAAAGTTACATGGAGAACAAGAGAAAAAAAGAAAGAGTATGGAGGCATTGCTGGGAAAAAAATCTCAAGTAACAAATGTTTAAAACTTAACTAGAACTGTTATTCAAACTCATCCTGAGAGATGTTTCTCTTGGTTCATTTTTATTTGTATCTCCAGTTGTTTTAGTTTGTTAAGAGAATCTAAGGGATAGTTTTAAGGATGAGGTCTCCCCACTTCCTGTTCATTGGTAGTCAAAAAGAAGATACGTTATCAAAACAATCATTCTGTGATATAAAGTACATACACACATGTGCATGTAAAGCTGGGGAAGGGCTTTACCTTGACTTGAAAAACCAGTTCATTTCCACCAACACTGAATTGTGATTCAAACAGGATTGTAAATTTTTCTTCTGTCACTGACTCTGCTCCACGACGGTCAGACCTCTTAATTCGTTTCAGGGACTACAAATGAGAAAATAAAATGGTAACACCCTCGAACAACTACAGAAAATCTGAGCTGCTGCTTCTCCCATCCTCACCATGTTCCTGAAGTGGGCACTGAGAGTGCCTGTGGCTTGGTGATACTCCATCACGCAGCAGTTGTTCAAGATCTCTCCACTGTAATCACTGCAAACACAGAGACTCAGCACTACATCTATATAGGTGCTCAGTATGCATGGGAGAGAAAATATATTAAAGGTACAAGGAAATAAAGAAGGTTGTTGAAAATATAAGTCATTCAGAGGAAATGTCACCTGCATAAAATATACATGAAATAAACACAGATAAAATATAAAATAAATTTTCTTGGATGTATAACTACTAAATGAAACAAAATCATAGTTTCTTCACATAAGAACCCACTTATATTCTTTCTCTGAGAGCCAGAAGCAGCCAGAGGACTACAGGGCTCCTACATAAGAATGGCTGAGTGCAGAAAGCATCCTAGAAGGGGGGATCACTTCCTTCCTATTGCAGGGACTCAAGGAAAGGGGCAGAGGGAGGGAGGCCCACGCACTTGCGGGTGTTCTCGTTCTTGAGCAGCGACTTGGCCTGCTGCTCACTGATGATGGTGGCCTTCACCTGGGGGGGGTTCATGTGCACGTTCAGCTTTCCTCCCACCAGCAGGCGCACGGTGGCTGCAAACTTGGTCTGGGTCTTCAGGACCTGAGGGGGCTGCTTCTCAATGATGAATGTGCTGCAGGGACACAAGTGACCAGACAGATGAAGTGATGCTGGCTGGCTCAGCGGACAGGGCTCAGGTCCCAGGGAGGCCACAGAGTCAGAGGATGGTGGGAGGGGAGGCAGGGAAATGAACTCGGCAGCTGGCACAGGCTGCAGGGCACCAGGTCAGCCTGTGTACCATCCACTGGAGAAACTGGGCAAGGTCCACACCCAGCAGCAGGGGACAGAGGAGGATGGGAGTGAGAGGCAGACACAGGGACGCAAGCGCAAGCTCCCCATCTGCAAAGCCCCCAGCCTCCCCCAAGCCAGCCACAGGAGGGGCGCTTGGCACGGCCAAGAGGCAGCAGTCACCTGGTCACCAGGGCTGAGATGATGTCTGTGATGGTGGCGTTGACCTCAGCCAGCATCTCCTCCACGGGGCCGGCGATGGGCAGCTGCTGGCAGAGGTGCTCGGCTCTGCGGATCTGCTGCCGGTTCTGCCAGATGATCTCGGCCAGCTTCTCACACCTGCACGGGAGCCCCAC